CAGTTTCCCGATCTCACCCAGCTCAGCATATTACATAAATGTTGATGACAATGTTAGCTGATTTTAGCTTCACCAACTATGTAATTATTTATTAAATTGTACATTTTTTTATTTTAAATCGTTCAAAAGGTAGTTTTATAATTCATGTCTCTTTTGTGTAAAAACCCTATTGTTTTTTTTAGAAATTATATTAAATATGAATCATTACTCCTTTAGACTACTATTAATCACTTTGGGAATCCTTGGTCTTGACCGACAACCAACGTGCCAAGAAAAATATGAACTTAAAGTGGAAGAGACAGAGAAAGGAGCAGCGTTGGACTCGGCAATACACCATCTTTCTCCCTGTCTCAGCTTCCAGTCTGATCTGTGGTGGCAGCCGCACAGTGGGTTCATGCTCCATTTTGGTCCAATGTTACAGAACACACTGAATTCAATTAAAACCTCCACAGGACACAAATGATATTGTCATTATGCTATTGATAACAAACTCAACAGCACACCAGAAAGTTGTGCAAAGAAATGTGCAATGACAACTTGCTTGTCATTGCACTTTTCCTGTGGATTTAGGGCTATACTAAATAAAATGAATTGAATTTAATTCAACTAATTAGGGTCAGTGCAGTGCAGCATGACCTGCTCAGTCACAGAACTATGATGCATGTAGCACTGATGATGCAGGATGACATCACCAAACCTGTCCAGGAAAAGTACACGTAACAATTGATGCCCTTCTAAAATAAACCCCAAACTGGTACTGTTGCACATCATCTTCAGTATAATTATTCCCGTTGTAGACAGGAACCACACACGAGAAACCACTGGACGTCATTTACCAGGCACAATGCTCTCTTCCTTCACATCTTTTTACCTTTGTCTTTTCTGTTCATGGTTAGTCATTATGCTCTCATATACGAACCACTACTGCAGCCAAAGCAACCTCACAAGGTCTAATCAACCTTGGCTTTCAGTTTGAGTGACAGGTTATGCAGCGTCAGGGCAGGCATCGTATTTTCCACTCATTGCATCAATGTAAATTCAGTAATAAGTTAGGATGACTGAGAATCATTTGTTCTCTGCGGACTTTGTGAGCCGAGTACAGTCGTCTTTCTACACTCTTTCATTTCAGACGATAATCAAGAACGCTTCATCGTAGGAATGACCAGAGTAATGCTCAGTAACTTGCACTGCTTCAAAAATATGAAGACAATTGTAAATCGAGCCACTTAATCAAAATCTCTTTTTGTTTTCACTATCAATATGTCTATATTATCTATAAAGTGATTTTAGAAGTCTTTTTTTACTACCACATAAATAAAAACAAAATACAGAATACATTGACATTGAATATATTGTTCACAATTTATCAAATCCGTTTCTGTTATTCCTGCAAAACAGCACATCCTAAAAGAGTGTGCAATGTGGTGCAAAAGCATCCCACACGTGACTTATTCTCCTGTTCTCTAAATATTGCAGAACTTGTGTCATGTTCTAATTCAAGCATCCCTCTTCACGGCTGCCTCGGACTCTCCCGCCGTCACACCTACCTGGTCTTAATGGTGGGGTTCATCCTGAGAGGAAACAGTCCCAGGTCTATGTCTTTGCAGTCAGGATTAAACTCTAGGGCTCCTGAGATGTAAATCAGAAAGTAGTCCCAGAGCTCTGGTAACTTCTGGGATGAGAGAATCATGAGGGAAACTTTCGGGGGGGATTCAGTTGGTGGCAGAAACGGCTTTTCAACACTGTCATTTCACCTCTCCTCGGCTTTCCTTTAAGCGCTGCCGGCTGGCCTGACTGTCCACTCAGCACCTACATTCAGCTGACTGACTCCTCCCCCAGGACAGACCACCAGAACCAAATGACCCTCCCCCGCCCCACCTCTATGGGATCACATTTCATCATCCACGTACCTGGTTTAATACGGGAAACTCTTACATTGGCCATGCAGGCGTGCTTCTGTCTGTAGCTTTATAGATCCTTAATATTGTGTCTTATTTAAATCCATATTACTCCAAAATAGTCAACCAACCACTGGCATTACCTCGTGTTCTTTATGAAAATGTAAAATGCCAGTAGGACTTCTCCTGCTGCACATATTGCAGCTACTGTGAATGATGAATGTGCTTCATCAGCTTCGGATGCACTGAAACAGGTGCTACGGCAGCATGAGGAACCACTGGGTGTATCTTGTGTTGTTGTTGCATTTAGACATTTGAAATATGTATGTGCAGAGTTAAAGTAAATAAATAAGCGAATAAAAAGGCCCGCTTCCAACTGACCCGCGTGTCATCCTCACCAACACCATCACGCGTTACCAGGGCAAATAAACACCACTTCAACATTATAATTTGAAAAAAATGAAATGCTAGTCAGCACAGAGCATAGTGAGTAGGATAACGGCACGGGTGAGAGCCCGGTGATGATGTGAGCAATGCGCCTGTGCGCGGTTCCTATTTGTGCAAAGCGACCATTGGCACGATCACCATGAAGTTATGAACTCCTCTTTGAAGGCAAACACGTTCACGTACCAGTAAATGAGCGACAATCCGTCGAAACGCTCGAGCTCTCTCCCCCGCTGTTTCAGCAGAGACATCCTTTCCAAACGAGGTCCAGGTGTGCCGCGTCCACGCGCTGTGGTGGACTTTCACAGTGACCCCGTCCCTCAAACGCATCACGCGCTCCGCTCTCCAACTCGTGCAGCGCGCGCCCTCGCCGGGCGCGTGGACGTGTCAGCATTGATTCCGCTTCACCTCGCGGGACGTTCACTACTCGCCGGTAACGGGACGCGCTGTCGGGCCGATCTAATCTGAGCGGACTGACCTCTCCCCATCTGTTGGACAACCCACTCGTTCCCGGCGGCTCTGCGCCGTGCGCCTCAGTGGTGCTGCATTCAGGGGCCAATTAAGGAAGACAGACCGGATCCTAAGCTTAGACCACTACGTGTCCGTGCTAAGAGGAATGCATGAGAGTGCGTTCTTAAACTATGGGACGCTACTGACTGACAGAGGACTGGTCTAATTATAGTTGTGATCCTGTAGTTCATTTGATGGAAAATTCCCACTTCAGGTACAATGAAAAAACACCAGGCTGGTGTCACCAGGCATTCAGTAATTTATCTCCGTTTCCTCACCTTGTCAGAATAATAATCATTAGACAAGTTGGACTAGCTAGGGGTTAGGGTTGGGGTTATAATAACCCTAATAATAATAATTATAATACGGGTAGATCAAATCCAGCGTTCTGATTGGTTGAGAGTGAGGCGCATAATTGAGCGATAATGTACCTTCCTTATCACTGCGCGCTCAAGTAACAGCTTAAATTTTGCGCGACCGTTAATTGACATTTTAGCTTTTAGCTCGGTGGCGATCGCCGAAAAAAACCGGAAATGCCACAAATGATCGTTTTGGGCAATGTGAGCTTTCGCAAAAGGACAATCAAGTTGGACTAATGAGCGATGTGAATGAATGAGATGGCCGGGGCTCAATGCTGTTTACATGCACGTACGTACAACTATTTTTTCTCCAGACTACTGAAATGAGATACACAAGGTTTGGTGGGCAGCTATTTGCTTACTATTTACAATTTCGCTGGCAACTGTATCATAAAAGCAATAACTTAAGGCAGTACTTTATCGTCCAATAATGTAACAGTTCAGGGAATTTGTTGTTGTTGTTTGCTTTATTCCAACACACAACTGTTACACAGGCCACCAACAGTGAGCAGCAAAGGCTCTTGGGAACTGGGACCCATTTCTAATTATAAGAAGATGAATCCATTGTATTTCTGACCAGCTAGTGCTGCACGAGGCCGTATGCAGTGTCCAGCACATACTGAATTGGACTGTAGTATAGATTTGGAAACTGTTGAATGGATTTATTTAACTGTTAACCAGCTCAGGCTTTAGCCTTAGAACAATAGCACAAGACCAAAAAGCAAAAGATGCACGTGTGCCTTGCTTAATGAAGTCCTGGTGTCTTGAACCATGTCTCTCACTGTGAATGGCTATGACTTTGGTGTGTCTGCAGTACGTCATGGCAGTTGTGTGGCTGAGGACCTTAAGAAAGCGAGTTGTGTGGGAACCTGTTAGTGTGCTCACCAGAAAGCAGCAACACCACAGGTAAAACATTTAGCATGTTGTACGGGGGCAACAATCTGACATCATGTGGACTAGTTTACAGGTAAGCTGAACACTGATCTGCAGTCTGTATTAACAGTGATGTGTTTGGGTTCTAATGAAGCCGTCGTTCCCTGGACTGAGCACATTGCAGAGCGTCAGCGAGCCAGTGAGGAGGACACGCACGGACGTTAAGAGGCACCAGAAACAAAAGCTGACCACCGAGAGACAACATAGAGAGAGAGAGAGCCTTCTTTCTCTGCTCAGTTAGACACTACTCCTCCAGATGTTCCTCTATGTTCACAGATATGATAAGGGTTGCAGCTATGTCCTTGCTCAGATTGTTGTATAGCTTTAAGGAAAGTAAGACAGGAGATATGTCTTTTCAGATCATACTCGAGTTGGTTATTGTAGCATGACTTCCAGCAGGTCAGTCATCATTTCATTCATAATCATTTTTATGGTAGATCACATGTTGTTCCAGGTGGACAGTCGTTATTAAGGCAGGTTGGACTTCCTTCCAGCGGGTAAGTTGTTATTCCACAACATCCATCATTTAAGCAGCTTAGCGGTTTTTAAGACCGGTCAGACTTCATTCCAGCACCGTCATTGTCTTACTATCTGGTAAACCATTTAATGCCGTATGAGCGTGCAATTAGAAGCTTAGACAATCAGAGATCACTTGTCACTCAGTTTGTGTAAGGTGCTTTCACGACTGCTTGCCCACTTTATGAACACATTCCAGACAAATGAACTGGACTCATGTTCCCAGTTGAACCCTGCTGACATCCAATTGTCTTGACAAAGAGTATTAGAGCATTAAAAGCAGTTGCTACTTACATCTCATTAGAAGTTTAAGGAAGTAATTTACTAGCAAGGACTCCGCACGCCACCAACTGAATGCGCTCAACGATTTTATTTGTGAGAGGTGATCGGAGTAAACGTTAATTCTGTCTAGTCGGATGGATTGTGGTGAGCTTTGTTGAAGGATGTGACCGTGGCGCCCAGGCATGATGAACCCCTTAAGGACCCCACTAAAAAGGCAGTAAGAGAGGAGGGAGATGAAAAGGGGTTAGGAGGGGGGGTTTGGAATGTGTAAATGAAACAGGAAGTGTGGTTTAGGAAGGTACTTACGGGGAGAGGTGTGTTGGAGGCGTGATCCTGCTCCCGAAATTACGCTAATTAGCTTCAAGTGTGGTGGAAAAGGACTTCCGACTAGGCTAGTCGATGAAGTCTAAACTACTGCCAAGTCTATCCATATCATGTATTCCATACTTTATACCTTCGTATGGTTCTTAATGTGTGTACTGCCCGTGTGAATATATAACGCAACACCTGTTTACTCAGCTCAGCTGTCCCTCTCACAGCGGCCTTCGCTTTGCCTTTTCCATGATAGACTGACCATATTCCTGCTTTACCTCCTCACCAGAGGCCTGTATCGCCCGCACCTGCAACGCCACGTCAGTAGTTTCTTTCTGCCGTAGACTCTGATCCTTACAAAGCAAACAAATACATATCATAGATGGTGTATTATGATAAAACAAATTCGGGCCATCATGGTGAGAAGACAAAATCGACTGCTGTTCCTCTTATATTAACAGTAGCCAGACAGGACCGGAGTTACCGCTTCAGACAATGTGCTTTTGTTCACAGTGACTTTAATCTGTCTGGATCAGTTATCCTCTATTGAAGCTGTATGTATCAAATAAGATTAACAGGCACACAAGTCCTTTATTTGGAAACGAGAGGACCCCATATGGGGCCTTATTGACCGTATTATTAGTGGGCTTATATTTATACCAAAGTAGTACATTACATGATTTATTGGGAGAAACACAACAGTTCTATGGAAAATCCTCCATTCCACTTGAATATTCCACTTAAATAACCTGTCTGGTGCTTTTGTCAGTGCAAACATTCTTACACATGCTCCTCTTCAGGGTGTCTGCATTCCAATCCTCCAGTTACCTTAATCCCTCTGAGGTTAACGCCAGGCATCGGCTCTCTGACACTCTGACTTGTAATGGTTGCAGATTGGATTGGGTGAAGTGATCTGACATCTGCTATAATGGGAACCCGAGACCAGCTAATCCAGTCAAATCCTCCTCAGCCACTGGACATAGCTGACTCTAAAACTATGGCAGACATTGCCATATAAACACTGCCTCACCTACCACACGTATTACAGCCGATCGTCCTCTTCACTGTTATGGCAAATAACTGGTGATAATTCAACATGGTTTTGCAGGACGAACAAAAACATTTTGACCAACTTTCTTTTTTGTCGATTTCAGGCATATTTCATTTTCTGTTACTGTTTGTAACTATACTATTATATACACTCACCTAACGGATTATTAGGAACACCATACTAATACTGTGTTTGACCCCCTTTCGCCTTCAGAACTGCCTTAATTCTACGTGGCATTGATTCAACAAGGTGCTGAAAGAATTCTTTAGAAATGTTGGCCCATATTGATAGGATAGCATCTTGCCGTTGATGGAGATTTGTGGTATGCACATCCAGGGCACGAAGCTCCCGTTCCACCACATCCCAAAGATGCTCTATTGGGTTGAGATCTGGTGACTGTGGGGGGCATTCTAGTACAGTGAACTCATTGTCATGTTCAAGAAACCAATTTGAAATGATTCGAGCTTTGTGACATGGTGCATTATCCTGCAGGAAGTAGCCATCAGCGGATGGGTACATGGTGCCATAAAGGGATGGATATGGTCAGAAACAATGCTCAGGTAGGCCGTGGCATTTAAACGATGCCCAATTGGCACTAAGGGGCCTAAAGTGTGCCAAGAAAACATCCCCCCCCACCATTACACCACCACCACCAGCCTGCACCGTGGTAACAAGGCATGATGGATCCATGTTCTCATTCTATTTACGCCAAATTCTGACTCTACCATCTGAAGGTCTCAACAGAAATGGAACCTCATCAGACCAGGCAAAATTTTTCCAGTCTTCAATTGTCCAATTTTGGTGAGCTCTTGCAAAATGTAGCCTCTTTTTCCTATTTGTAGTGGAGATGAGTGGTACCCAGTGGGGTCTTCTGCTGTTGTAGCCCATCCGCCTCAAGGTTGTGCGTGTTGTGGCTTCACAAATGCTTTGCTGCATACCTCGGTTCTAACGAGTGGTTATTTCAGTCAAAGTTGCTCTTCTATCAGCTTGAATCAGTCGGCCCATTCTCCTCTGACCTCTACCATCAACAAGGCATTTTCGCCCACAGGACTGCCGCATACTAGATGTTTTTCTCTTTTCACACCATTCTTTGTAAACCCCAGAAATGGTTGTGCGTGAAAATCCCAGTAATTGAGCAGATTGTGAAATACTCAGACCGGCCCGTCTGGCACCAACAACCATGCCACGCTCAAAATGGCTTAAATCACCTTTCTTTCCCATTGTGACATTCAGTTTGGAGTTCAGGGCCCGGTTTTTCAAAAGTAATCCACTAGGATTTTGGATAACGGATTGGATCAAATCTTAAAAATGGATTTTTCAAAAGAAAAAACGGATTATATAATCGAAGTAGATCACGTAATCCAATTTTGGTTTTGAGCCGGATCAAATCTTTAGTTGGGTTTTTCAGAACTTTTTTGTAGGATTTAGATCACTTTGATCCAAAAAATCTGGATTAAACTGATCCCATCAGAAGGGTGGATTCAGCGTGGAT